CTAAATATGCATGAATTGTTCGGGACTTGCCGGTTAAATTTTGAAATTACTCGGAGAGGGCTTATATAGCACCTCCGAGGCTGTTTTTGCACAAAACTTCGGCCGAACGACGTGATATTTACATAATCTAATTAACATGGACTTAAATACATATAAAAAGGGTAAATAAGTGTATACCCTTCAGTTCAGACGAGAATTGCACGGTGGCTTGCGTGAGCTTGCACGGTGCGTTCGGTAGTGTATACTTGCTTCTCCTTGGCTTCGGCTTTCCTTAGCTATTTTTCTATAATTTTTCCTTACTATTTTCCCTCATTACTTGGCTGATGTTGGGCTCGGTTTTTGCATGAAATGCATGGGGAAAATTCGTATGAAGGTCGTACATATTTATAGTAAAAGATGGAGACATTTGTTGGGAATAACCTTGGGTCAAAGAAAGTGAAAGATGACTTACCTCCTTGAACCGCCACATGTCCTAGTCGTGGGTTGAGGTGGCGTGCGCTCGGCTTGGTCATCATCCGAGGTGGCGCACATGCACGAGCTTAGTCATTGCCCGTGGCATCGTGTAGTGCCATGTGTCCAAGCAAGTAGGTGACTCACCTTAGCAACTTGCACTTATGACTTATCCTAGGTAATTTCTCACGGCAAGTTGGAAGCTTAAGACTTGGATTACTTAGTCATGATCATGGTGCTTAATGGTGCATAAGCATGCACTTGATGATGGCTTAAGGCATGTGCATGCCTCGCACGGCAACGTGCGTTGCGCACCATTGCGCGCGCACGCAAATGCGCATGACATTGCGCGGCGTGCGTCCGTATGTGTTATAGAGTGCACCTCCGAGATTTAGACATGAATTTGATTTCGAAACTAAATCCGAACATTCTTAACTTTTAATAATTAATGCCGATTAATAATATCCGTTTATAAAATAAACGGTTCGGAAATTAATTATCAACTTGGACTCGGTTAATAATTAACCGAATAGACTTTTCGACTTAAAGTCGAACTTATTAACTTAAACGCTGAAAATGAACGAGATTAATAAAAGAAAATACATCACTTCCATTAATAAGAAACGGGGTTATTACAATATATATATATATATATATATATATATGGTTGCGTTCAAGTGAGAATGGTTCTTAAGGAAAGAAATAAGAATAAATCTTAGTCATCGAATCGGATGATCCAACCGCTACAAAAAAATCTTAGATTTTAAACACACTAAGGGCAATGTGGTATTTTTCATAAACAATAAATTCGTGGGGTCCACCTCAACCTTTCTAATTCACAATGATACGGAAGTGGCTAGGCAGCTCAAGAACGCCGCAAGTCGCGCTTATCGTGCACGCAAAAGGCTGGCACGGGCTACGGGCGAGACGCAAGCCTTGGACGGTGATGTGCCGGAGGCACGCGAAAGTGGCTAGCACGAGGGCACGCGAGCGACGGGCGCAGCGGGTGCGGGTAGCGAAGGCGCGCGCGCGCCCTGGGAGCATGGCCTTAATCCTTGAGGCTTGCGGACAGGCCGCTGGGATCGATGCGCGCGGGACGATGCGCGCGAGGCGGAGGCGCGCGAGGCGCGCAGGCTGTTCGAGCACGTGCAGGGCACGAAGCCCCAGTCCTTGAGGAATGCGGACTAGCAGGTGACCACGCGCGCAAGGTCGGCATGGACAGAGCTGGCGTGCGCGGCACGCTGGGCAGCAGCACACGCGCGGCAGAGGCGGCGCTCTAGTCCTCGAGGACTAGGGCAAGGGCGCGGGCGGTCGACCCTAGGGCGGTGAATGTGAGGCGGCCGAGAGAGAGAGAGGAAAGTTTTGGAGTGCAAGCCAAGTTATTTTGTTCCCTTATTCCATCATGATTTCTAGCTTATTTAGGATACTTAATATTTTATTGCTTAATTAGAGTTATAGTTAGAATAGGATTAGATCTAATTGGTGCATATATAAAGGCCATTCCCCCATGTTATTTTGCATCATCAAATTTATCAATAGAAATCCAAACTTTTGTTCAATCACTTTGCTTTAGTTTTTCACCAAAATTCTATTATAATTTTATTCGTTTAGAGGGGTGCGGTTTGTGAACCTCTAGGCTTCTATCGGCGATTCAAGGCACTGGTTTGTGGCTTATCGGGAGTCGGGACACGAGATCTTCATCATTGGTGCTTTCATTGAGAGGTGTTAGATCGTGTGTCTTTTTCCTACCCCATTCCCCTTCTTTTCGTTTCCTTTTTTCGTCCCCCCTATCAAAAAAAAAAAAAATCTCTTCAAAATGAGTCCTAGAAGCAAAGAGCGAAAACAAGAGAAGAAAGCCATGGCCAACAAGGAGATGAAGTACAAGATCGATAATCTCGATATTCCAGTCCCAAGCATGAGCGAAGCTATGGAGGGAAGGCTCGGATCACTCAATGAAGGCCAAAGCAACACTAATGCTGTCGTGGCCCGACTTGAGCAGCGATTGGACGAGGTGTTGCGTGGGTTCCAGCGACAACAGCAGAAGCAACACGACGTCCCGCCGCGACCGCCGTCCCCTAGGCACGAAGAAAGGCGCGCGCACGAACGGCCATATGAATGGTACGAACGCGAGCATGAGGACGACTTTGAGCGGCGATCCCAGGCGTCCAACTACCAAGATCGGCCAAGGCCCGACAAGCCAAGGCTCTTCCTATCCACCTTCAACGGCAACGACCCCGAGGCGTGGCTCAACCGATCCGTCCAATATTTTGAACTCAACGAGACCGAGGGCCATGATCGAGTTAGGTATGCAGCTTATTATCTTGATGGTGAAGCCAACGTGTGGTGGTTGTGGCTCACAAGCGTTTACTGCAACCCGCAACGAGTCATTACCTGGGGCAATTTCGAGTGAGAGTTACACACTTTGGCACGTCCGACTACCACAACTATGATGAGGCGCTGACTCGAATAAGGCAGACAGGTAATTTACGTGATTATTTGAAGGAATTTGAGCGATTAGCTTGTCGAGTATGGGGCTGGCCCGAAACTGCATTAGTAGGAGCATTCATTGGCGGCCTAAAGTATGATCTAGCTGCTGAGCTGCGTTTGGAGCAGCCCAAGACCATGCACGCCGCTATGGAAGTCGCCCGGCGACGCGAGGACCACCTAGCAGCCACGCGAAGGGGACGGGCGTACGGAAGATTCACCGATACACGCTGTGCAGGCCCAAGCCAACCGACCGCGGGCGCACGACCGGCCTTCAGCGCTCGACCAACGGGGCCAGAAGTCAAGCGACTTTCGCTTGAGGAAATCAAACGCCGATGCGAGAAAGGCCTTTGTTTCAAGTGCGAAGAGAAGTTCTCACCAGGCCATCGATGTAAGCAGGCATACGTACTCGAAATCAGCGATCCGGAAGAAGAGGAGTGTGAAGATGAGGAAAACATAGAAAGTGAAGGCGAAGTTGAGGTGCTCGACGAAGAGGCTGAAATCTTGATGCATGCTATGGCTGGGATTAGAGGGACAAGGACGATGCGACTACCAACTTGGGTCAAAGACCGTCGAGTGGTCGTACTCGTGGACAACGGGTCATCACACAACTTCATCAATGCTGACTTGTCTCAGAAGCTGAAGTTACAAACCATGAAGATTGAGCCCTTTGAAGTTCGAGTAGCCAATGGTGAGATACTACAATGCAGCGAGTCATTTCGTGGGGTGCCGATCAAGTTCCAAGGGGTTACTATGAAGGCTAACCTCTATGCCTTACCCCTGGTCGGACCTGACGTTGTTCTAGGAGTTCAATGGCTCGAGGGATTAGGAAAGGTGACCACTGACTACCGAACCGAGATCATGGAGTTCAGATCTGGAGGTCAGCGAGTCACTCTAAATGCTGGCAATGATAAAGGTACCAAGGAGGTTGGGTTAAAGAGTATTGAGAGAGTTTGGCGAGGTGGCGGCCAAATATTTTCAGTAGTGGTCGAAAACAGGAATGCGCGCATGGATGAGGCCGAACAGCAGCAACGCGAGGTGTGCAAACTTATCAAGGAGTTCTAAGGCGTACTGGGCGAGCCCAAGGGACTACGACCACATTGGGAGTTCGACCACTGCATACCTCTGGTCGACGAGCAACATGCAGTCCACGTCCATCCTTATAGGTGCGCTCACTTCCAAAACACTGAAATAGAAAGGCAAGTAGCTGAGATGCTAGAGTCCGGGCTAATTCAGCGTAGCTCGAGTCTGTTTTCATCACCGGTCCTATTATCAAAGAAGAAAGATGGCACGTGGAGGTTCTGTACCGTCTATCGGGCGTTGAATGCCGCAACCGTCAAGGATCGATTTTTAATTCCTAGTGTCGACGACATGCTCGATGAGTTGGCCGGATCACATTACTTCTCAAATCTCGACCTTAGAGCTGGCTACCATCAGATCTGACTCCACAAAGCCGACATTTCGAAGACAGCTTTTCGTACCCATCAGGGGCACTATGAGTATTTGGTGATGCCATTCGGGCTCTGCAACGCTCCATCTACTTTTCAGTTCGTCATGAATTCCATCTTCAAGGAACACCTACGTAAGTTTGTCCTAGTTTTCTTTGATGATATCTTGGTTTATTCAAAGTCGTGGGCCGAACGTATTGAGCACTTAAGAGTGGTGCTCGAAGTATTGGAGGCTAACTCGTTCCACATCAAGCCGTCCAAGTGTTCATTCGAGCAGGAGATGGTCGAGTACCTAGGCCATTTTATATCCTATGATGGCGTGAAGGTTGATCCACGGAAGATAGAGGCTATGGTCGACTGGCCTAAGCCAACGAGTCTCACGCAACTCCGAGGATTCCTAGGGCTCACAGGTTACTATTGAAAGTTCGTGAATGATTATGGGACCATCGCCAAGCCACTGACGGAGATGACCAAGAAGGGCAGGTTTAAGTGGACCGAGGCTAGCGAGGAGGCATTCGAGAAGCTGAAGGGCGCCATGACCACGATGCAGTCCTCGCAATGCCACGGTTCGATGTCTTGTTTGAGGTACACACAGATGCGAGCGACGTGGGAATTGGAGTCGTGCTAGTACAGGAGGGACGACCCTTAGCCTTTCTCAGCAAGGCGCTAGGCACGACCCGACTTGCGCTGTCTGTGTACGTGAAAGCGATACTAGCCGTTTTCGAAGCAGTGAGATGCTGGAGGCTTTATCTATTGGGGTGAAGATTTTGAATTGTAACCGACCAGCAGCCGCTAAAGAATTTTACTCGAGCAAAGGATTGTTACCTCCGAGCAGCAGAAGTTTGTCTCCAAGCTCATGGGGTTCGACTTTGAGTTAGTCTACCGGCCGGGCTGAGAGAATGCTATGGCCGATGCGTTATCCCGATGGACAGATGTAGCTGAACTCACAGCTATCATGGGACCAATGTGGGCCGTTTGGGAGGAAGTTCGAAAGGCACAAGAGGAAGATCCACACTGCAAGGGGTTGCGACAAAGGATCAAAGAGGGCGACAATGACGTCGCCGACTACGAGCAGCACAACGGCCTAATACTCCACCGAGGCTGAGTATTTGTTCCCGAAAGTGGGCAACTACGTGAAAAGATCATGCAACACTTCCACGATTCTAAAACTGAAGGGCACTCGGGAATCTACCGCACATGGATGCGAATGTCCAATACCTTCTTCTGGCCAGGACAGCAGGGCACGGTCCGAGATTATGTCGCACGATGCGATGAGTGCCAGCGCACTAACGCTGCGTAAGGAAACCAAGCGGGCTGCTGCAACCATTATCGGTACCCGAGGTAATTTGGGAAGATATCACGATGGACTTCATTGAAGGGCTGCCAGTTTCTAATGGGTTCAACGGTGTTATGGTCGTGGTGGATCGACTTACAAAGTATGCCCACTTCATACCCATCACTCATCCTTATACAGCAAAATCTATCGCCAAACTGTTCGTTGAGTATGTGATGAAGCTGTATGGAGCACCACGATCTATCGTTTCCGACTGGGACCGAATTTTTATGAGTAGTTTTTTGTCTGAATTCTTCAAGCTACAAGGGACCAAGCTATCAATGAGCTCAGCATATCACCCACAGACAGATGGGCAAACCGAGGTAACTAACCGAAATCTTGAGCAGTATTTAAGGTGCTATGTCTATCAATTTCCAAAGAAGTGGGAAAATTTTTTGCCCGGGGCTGAGTACTGGTACAACACCACTTACCATGAGTCAACCAATATGAAGCCATTCGAATTGGTGTATGGGCGTAAATCGCCAACAATAATCAATTATTCAGAGGGAGGCGCGGTCAATGACGAGGTGGGTCAAGAACTTGAGGAGCGAGACTTGATGTTGCGAAAGTTGAAGAAAAATCTCGAAGGTTCGATCAACCGCACAAAGGCCTTCGCGGATGGAAAATGGCGAGAAGAGAGTTTTGTGCCGGGTGAATTTGTCTATTCGAGCTGCGACCATTCAGGCAGCGCACGACAGCACAAAGAGCGGCAACTAAGCTAGGGGTACGCTACTATGGGCCTTATCAGATTCTGAAATGCATTGGTCAAGTAGCTTATCGTCTAGAGCTACCAAAGAGTTCGCAGATTCATCTGGTCATACATGTCTCTCAGCTCAAGAGAAGTTTAGGAGAAGCGCATAAGTGGTGCGAGGAGCTACCAACAACCGCGACGGATGGGAGAGTCATAGTTAGACCAAGTCGAGCGATTGAGTATCGCCAAGTGAGGAAAGCAGGTCGCTATCGTTGGGAATTATTAGTCGAGTGGGAAGAGTTGCCACCGGAGGAAGTCACATGGGAAGATCTAGATGAGATGCGCGATCAATTCCCGAATTTCGTCCTTGAGGACAAAGAAACACTTGAAGGGGACGGGAATGATGCGGATGTGGCTAGGCAGCTCAAGAACGCGCAAGTCGCGCTTATCATGCACGTAAAAGGCTGGCACGGGCTATGGGCGAGACGCAAGCCTTGGACGGTGATGCGCTGGAGGCGCGCGAAAGTGGCCAGCACAAGGGCACGCAAGCGACGGGCGCAGCGAGTGCGGGTAGCGATGGCGCGCGCGCGCGCCCTGGGAGCATGGCCTTAATCTTTGAGGCTTGCGGACAGGCCGCTGGGATTGATGCGCGTGGGACGATCGTGCGAGGCGCGCAAGCCGTTTGAGCATGCGCGGGGCAGGAAGCCCCAGTCCTTGAGGAATGCGGACTGGCGGGCGACCACGCGCGCAAGGTCGGTGCAGACGGCGCTGGCGTAC